CTTCAAAAGATTACTCGAGAAGAAAATGATGTCATAAACACTGATAGTATATAGTGATCAGCGTATCAGCCAAATGGACAACCTCCAATTTCAAGCACAAACAAGGCAATTGAAGGTAGCAACACCAAATATCCCTCTCCACATCGTCTCAGAACAGATGAAATACCTATGATTGCCAATGACTTCAGAATGGCAGCCAAAAATGCTATAGAAGCTGGTACCAACCTTTGCTTAACACTTTCTTCTTCTTCTTCTTCTAGCTTTTCATTCAAACTATTTGCATGCATGCGACATACTAAATACTACTGAACAAGACAATGAGTCAAAACTGTTAAATTTATTCAGGCTTTGATGGTGTGGAGATACATGGAGCCAATGGATACTTACTCGACCAGTTCCTAAAAGACCATGTGAACGACAGAGACGATGAATTTGGAGGTAGTTTAGAAAATCGTTGTCGATTTCCACTGATGGTCGTGGAGGCAATAATTAACGAGGTTGGATCAGACAGAGTTGGTGTTAGACTCTCTCCTTTTGCTAACTACTGTGATTGCAAAGACTCTGATCCTCAAGCACTTGGCATTTACATGGCTCAATCCTTAAGAAAATTGGACATTCTTTACTGTCATGTCATTGAACCCAGGATGGTTACAATGTTTGAGAAGTGTGAGACCAATGTGTCATTGTCCGATATTAGAAAGGCTTTTGGTGGAACCTTTATTGTGGCTGGCGGTTACAATAGGAGTGGTGGAAACAAAGTGGTTTCCGACGGTGGTGCCGATTTGGTGGCTTATGGACGCTTGTTTTTGGCTAATCCAGATCTGCCCAAGAGATTTGAGCTTGATGCTGAATTGAACAAGCCTGATAGAAGCACTTTTTACACCAGTGATCCTGTTGTTGGATATACAGATTATCCTTTTCTTCAACATGATCACTGAAACAGCCTATGAAATTTTAGTTATATGTGTCTATTCAATAAAGAGCTGCTGTGTTACAACAATTTAGTTATATGTTGTAACACATTTAAGGTGAAAAGAAGAAATAGAAAGAAAACATGATGAACGGAAGAATATGTTTATGTTAATATAACTTGTCATAATGTTTTAAGTAATATTTAAGGAATGTGATTAAGCAGTATGAATGATTAAGCAGTTAGGTATATAAGAAAAGGCATTTCTTGTATTTGATAGGAATTAAAGAAGTTGGGTCTTTTTCAATAGTTTTGAACTCTTGTTGTCCAGTAGTGAAATGATGAAACAATTCATTATTCAGAAAATCTTCCTAGACTTGTTTAACTAAGTTATTTTTAAGTTAAAAACATAGTTTTTTTAATGAAAAATATTGGGCAAAATTTTCTTTCATTTGGTCATGTTTCAAGGTACTATCTTGCCCAGTAAAAATGGCATTTAGTTTATCTAAAACTATTTAATGATGATAAGAATACCGACTTATATTTATAATAATTTATAATTTTAGATATCGGAATCATTTTTTATGATATTAAACTTGTTGCATATTGTTGGTAGTAAAACTTTTACATTAAAAAATCACTGCAATAGTTAGAAAATCATTTTGAGATAATGGGAAATAGAGAATTGTACAATAAATAACTCCCAAAACTAATGCATGTATAAACAAATATGAAAATGAATCAAATAATAAAAATAACAATGTTGTGTTCACAAGCTTTGAAAATCCAATTTCAAAATGTTGAGTATAAGTTTAAAGAATTAAGAGTAATGATTTTTACCCATTTTTACATTCATTTGACATAGACTATAAGGATAAAGTGGTAAAAAAAGTATAAATTTTTTATTGTTTCAAGAAAAAGAGAATAAAAAGTAAGTAAAGATAGTATAAAATAAATGTAAAATATTTAGATGTATTAAAGAATTTTTACTCAAGAATTAAACATGCTATTATAGAAGTTAATGAAATATACAATGCACTCTTTGAGACTGTGGTATTACTTGTTAACAAAAGTTGAAATAATATACTTGAGAAAAATAAAATAATTAAGTTAACCAAAAGAAATAAAATTTAAAAATTTATTTTATAAAATCTAAAACATTAAATAACCTAAACAATACTCTTAACCAATATAAACTATATACTTAATGAATCAAAAATAAAATTCAATACTTTTGCATCCATTTCTAGCAAAAATTCATACAATACATTGGAAAGTTGGTTTGATTTTTGTACAAACTATATTAATTTAATATAAAATCTAAATCATACCAATGGTCATTTTTAACAAAAAAGAATTATATAATCAATTTTTCCCAGAGAACTTAAAATTTTTATAATAAATTATTATTATTAATTAAAAAATCTGTTTTAAACTACTTTAACATAATTATTTATTTATAATTCCAATTTTTTTTCACATTTATGAGGAAAATATAGTTTTATTAATATAGATTGAATTGTTCATTTGGTTTCTAATTTTAAGTAAACATAATTTCTAACTATAATCCAACGGAGCATCCATATATTTTGGCTGTGATAATTTAAACTGTAAAAAAAAAATCTCATAATCTTCTTTACACTATTATTCATTAACATAACAAAACACTATATATTTATTTTGTAACACCACCAATAAATAAAATAATAGTACTTTTATTTTCAATTCAAAATCTAAGACTCATATCAAAACAATTATTACACCAGACACATATAAAAGCATACTTATTAAATTATAATATAATTCAAACTTCAAAGTAATAAACAAATGAAAATAAATAAATAAATAATGTAACAATATAAAACACTATAAAACACAAGGGATATTTTAATCATTTTGATATAACTAAATTTAAAAAATAAAATAAAAAAACTTTCCAAAAGAAATCCTTACAAATTCCTTTTTGTACAAATTCTTACATGAATTGATTGATATACAGAGAATTTTTTTACTTCTGAATATTAGCAAAATAATACAACCTAATTTAACTTCGGTATAATATACACGTAAAAGTACATTCTTAGTAAAAGTACTTTCTTAGTAAGACCACATACAATATCCTTAATGTTTAAAGTTTCAGGAGTCATATTGTTCAATGTTTCAAGAGTCATATTGTGATGACTTTATTGCATTTTTAGTCATATAATTTATTTATTACTATAAACACCGAGCTATTATCAAAATTTTAATATCCAAGGGTCATATTACCTTAATCAAATTTAATAAAATTGTATTTTTACATGACACAATACAAAACAATCTAGACAAATCATTTGGGTTAAAATCACTGAATTGTAACGACATTGCCTAATAACATTAAATTAAGCAAACCAAATGTTAAAAAATAGCCTCCAAAATGAAAAATGCTCCAGTAACTGTTTCTCTAGCATCGAAATCATTTAAATTAATGCTTTAAAAACACTAAATTCACTAATAATTTTAAATCTAAAAAAAATTTAAACTAAAGAAATCAAAATTCAATTGAATAAAACATAATTAAATATATATGAAAAAAAAACAAAGAAACAACAATCAGAATATACATCAGACAAGGACACAAATCAAGGTTATGCATCAAAATATAATCAGTAAGACTGTTAGATTAGGCATTAACATGACTAGACAAATATTACCCTTCACTCGACTATTTAAAAAAAATATCATTCCCACCACATTCCACCCATTCACAAAACCGATATCGGTTGCAAAGAATAAAATAACTAACCCTCGAAAAGAAATCCTAATTTGATTAAAAAAAAAGTTCAATACGCGACAACTACAGTACTTAATACTTTCAAAACAAATTCAACACATCAGAAAATGTCATACATGTAAACTGATTGCATAATAGAAGAACTCCAAAGATTCTAAAACTTCAGTGTAGTCCTATCAAATGCATTTCGAAGAAAAGTTTTAAGATTGTCACACTTTACGTCAAATTAATGCTGATTATAATTCATTGTTGATAGCAAAACACTGTTTTTAACACAGTTCAACCTTCATTTGGGAAAGTCAAAAGTACAGTAACATTCACCCACACAACTGTACATCAGATCGCAACACCACAATCAAATCAAGCATACATAAAATCGAAAACAAATAACATACCATCAAGCAGCATTAACGAAGGTGTTGACGCATCATAGCATACGTGTATATATACAGCAGAAATGGGATGATAAGCCAATTATATTCATACAAACTTAACCAGATTTCAACAAGAAAACTAAATCAAGCTAAATGCTCTACAAAAGATAAACACCCCTTAACTAAACAGTTGGATTTAGAAGTACAAATAAAGATCTCCCATCTTTCAACTATTCACGTTTTGGACAGACAAAACAAATTTACGGAGGGAGCAGAGAAATATTTTCTGGAAGCAAGAAACATGTTTGTTTATCAGGAAATGACCAGACCACCTACAAAAGATGATCAAAATCATCAAAACCTACATAAATGGTTATCAGTCCACTTTCTAATCGTCATCCTCCTCCTGCACGAAAAAACGAAAAAAACACCACCAAGTAAAGACTAAGCAATTAAATATCATAAACCATACATAAGAGAAGGAAAAACGAGCAAAAACAACAACGCAGTACAGACGAAGCATTAAATTCAATAACACAACTAAATAAGAGAGGGAAAAACGAAAAAACAAAACAAAAGTCAAAGACGAAGCAATTAATACCATAACCAATAAATAAGAGAAAGATGGAAAAGGAATAAAAATAAACCTCGGCACTGCCCTCCTCGTCATCATCCTCATCATTCACCTCAGATACTGACTTCTCGGACTCTTCTTCATCTCCACCAGTAGGACCTTCAGCCTGACATCAACCAACAAAAACAGAAACACATGAGAACAATAAAAAGCACGTCCAATGAACCATGCCACCAACTAAGTATTGCTATAATAAAAAACTTTATCAAATATACATCAACCTGTTTCTTGTTGTAGGCTCTCATGCTTTTCTCATACTCGACCTTTCTTTTCTCAGACTTTGCCACATATGGTGCTTTTTCCTGAACAATCACCCAGCATTTCAATAATATGTTCAAACATATATCAGTTTACAATTTATGATCAATAAACAGTCGTCTACATACAGCGTCAGACATTGACTTCCATTTTGCTCCAGCAGCCTTTCCCACCTGGAATGTTCAATTAAAGTCAGACAGGTGAAACATAACTAGGTCTGTACTGCATAAAGACGAAAATTCAACAATAAAAGTCACTTACAGCAGACACGGCTTTGTTGTCAGGATGTTCCTTGTTAAATTGTTTCCTAAACTCCTCCCTTTAATAACAGAGATATTATAAGAAACCAAACACAGAAGAAACAATGTCTAGAAATGAACCGATAACTATATTAAGCCTTCAAGATACATATCCAGGATAATAAATATTCTCATGCATGATTTTCTACCTATATTTCAACCCAAAAAAAAAACAAATCCATAACAAACAAGTAAATTATCATATAGACATGATTTTCTGTATGTTTACTACAATATTCAGCAAGAAGAAAACATTACATGAAAACAAAGAAAGCACTGGGAGGCCTCTTTGGCTTGTTAGGGTCTTTCGCAGCCTTGCCCTTGCCTGCTGGTTTCCTGGCCTTGGCTGGCGCACCCTTCTTATTCACAGCAAGTCTGAAATTCCAAGAAAAATCAATGAATCTAAAAAAAATCAAAATAACTGTAACAGAGATCTCAGAATCTGAGATCCAGAAAGTCATGAATTTAACTTTATCGCATATTTTACTGCAGGAAACCACAAATCTTAGGAGATATAAACAACCGAAGATAGGATAAAAAACAAAGGAAACTTACTTGGCATCGCCTCTCTTAGATTCAGTTTTTGACTTGCCTCCTTTCATGACGGATGCTGCAGTAACACCAAGAGGTTAGTTTTATTGGATTGAAGTCACAGAAGATCGATGAAAACGATGAAAAATTGATGAAAAATTGAAAAAAATTGAAGGAATTACGTACGGAGAGAGTGGAATGAGGTTGGGAGTTAG